GCACACACGTGCACACCCACACTGCCCCATGCTCATCCTTCCTATTACTATTTTTAAATGCCTAAATTGACCCAGCTGTGAGGTATGCACACATTTACAGATATTTACTGGTACATCTCCACTTGTACGGTTTTGACCGTCTAACCTAAATCTTCAAGAAATCCTTTGGAATCTAACCTTTCGACTCATGGTTCCAGAATGAGTAGGAATAGCTTAGAAGAACAGTTGGCACTGTGGCAGGTGTGAGCATCCAGTTGTGACAACGATCACTGGAGGGTACTCTTACCCCAAGGGCCTGCGAGGATTTGCGCACACTGCATCTGAGCCTCAGCTCTTGGGCTGTTCCTTGCATTCTCCTGACTAGACAGAGAACCAGGAGGTGTGAGGTTTGTCTTCCACTGATGGTGTTACCTTGCCACCAGCAGCTCTAGAGCCTATTTTCTTGTATGTAGCAGGTTTACATGAGGCTATAAAGCTCTGCTATTTTTAAAGGTTTTGACACATTTCTCGTTTAATCCTCAAAACACCTGCAGTAACATAGGGAGTACGATTTAGCTTCATGTTATAGGATGGAAACTAAGGTATCAAGGAGGAAGCAATATGGAATGGAGATTAAAAGCATCAGACAGACTTTGCAGCCTGTGGAACCAGCCTAAGTGTCTAAACCTGTTTCCTCAGCAGTAAAACTAGGATGACAGTTACCTCATAAGGTTGTCAGCAGAATTAAGTTAGATAATGTATATAAAGTGCTTAATATGGTGCCTGGTACAAAGCAAGTGCTTAGCAAATGGTGACTGCTGTAACTACCAGAAAGTGGTTGGCCCAAGGTCAGACCTCTTACAGGAGTAGGGCTGGACTTTGAACCCACATCTTCTGCCTCCCAGGCCAGTGTGTTCTTTTCTACACAGCAGAAAGCATTTAGGTATGTTTGTAATTAATAGTTTCTGACTGTTTTTATGGAGTTTTTTTCTTTTATTGCTTGGACTCAGTGAAGCCTGCTGTGGACCCTGCTGCTGCCAAGCTGTGGACCCTCTCAGCCAACGATATGGAGGACGACAGCATGGTGAGCTGGCACCACGGTCACTTGATGGCTTTCTTTCAGGCCCCGGTTTGGATGTGAACAGCTATAGTGACCTTTCTGGACTTGTAGGTGTGAATGTATTTAAAGCCCAGATTTATGACTATGCCTGTCACTTATATCTTTGATTTAGAAGGAAACTCCACGTTGGTGGCTCTTTTTTTTTCGAGGCAGAGTCTCCCTCTCTTGCCCAGGCTGGAGTGCAATGGCACGACCTCGGCTTACTGCAGTCTCTACTCCCGGGTTCAAGTGATTCTCGTGCTTCAGCCTCCCAAGTAGCTATGATTACAGGCACGTGCCACCATACCTGGCTAATTTTTGTATTTTTAGTAGAGACGGGGTTTCACCATGTTGGCCAGACTGGTCTCAAAACTCCTGACCTCAAGTGATCTGCCCACCTTGGCCTCCCAAAGTGTTGGGATTACAGGCGTGAGCCACTGCACTCAGCTGTGTTGGTGGCATTGTAAATTTTTTAGCATTTCTTTTTCCCCACATAATTTCTTGTTCTCACTTCATATGATATGTTGAAAACTCTTGTGGGCATGTGTAAACCTGAAAAGATTTTGTCAGCTTAAATAGTTTTATTGGCACCTTTGGGCAAGTTGCTGAACGTTCCATGCTTTAAAAAGCTGTGTTTTCCATCTTTGATTGGCCCTACCTGTAATAAAATTCTTCATTTCTACACCTCTACTATTGAAGTTAGAGTAGTGAGCAAAATAAGTCAAGTTCATGCTCTCATAGGGTTTACAGACTAAGTGTCTACACATTTACAAAGAATTACATAAAGGTATATATAACTATTTGATTTTTCTCTGGGATTATGTAGAAGATATTTTATTCCCTTTTTCACATGACTCTTCATAAACACTTCTATCCCTCTCTGTTCTGCCTGTTCCCTCCCTTCTCCTCATTCCTGCCCCTAACCCCCAACGTGTGTATATTCTCTACACAATGCTGGCCAGTCTTACAGCTTTTTCTCATGTAAATTTGTTTCTAATTCCTTCGCATCCTAGTGCATCTTCTGTGGATGTAGTTTAACTCACCGTTGGCCTCTTGAGCATGTGGTCAGGTTGAACATGATGATCAACCAAAAGTAGGACAGGGTGGACACCTTCTTTAGCCTGGACTCCAAGTTTCCTGTTAAAGCCTGTGGTCACTTTAGCTTTTCATTAGCAGAGACCACGACTGTGTCACTCATTGCTTTGAACACTCTCCAGGATCTCATTGACTCAGATGAGCTGCTGGATCCAGAAGACTTGAAGAAGCCAGATCCGGCTTCCCTGCGGGCTGTTTCTTGTGGAGAAGGGAAAAAGAGGAAGGCCTGTAAGAACTGGTGAGTGCTGGGGTGACTGGAGCCTGCCATGCTGCATGCAGTGGCTTTGTGCTCAAGTCATCACAGTGCTGTACTATTTTTAAAACATACGTTTTCCAGCCTGGGCAATACAGGGAGACCATCTCTGCAAATAATTAAAAAAAAAAAAATTAGCCAGGCATGGTGGTATGTGCCTGTGGTCCCAGCTACTTGGGAGGCAAAGGCAGGAGGATCACTTGAGCCTGGGATATCGAGGCTGCAGTGAGCCGTAATTGTGCCATGCATCTAATTTCACTCTCCTTCAAAACCCTACCAGTGAGCCACGATTGTGCCACTGCACTCCAGCCTGGGCATCAGAGTGAGACCTTCGTGTCTTCACATTTGTTTTTATAAGTGGATGGGAAGGATTGTAGACAGTTAATCAGTGGTATTCAGGCTTGTTCAATCATCAGTGTTTTTTAAATGTAAAAGCTGCCAGCATTTACAAATCAGGAAATTACAAGTGAAAACAGATTTTTTTCCCCTTCTGTTCTTGAATTTGGAAAATATGGCAAACTGGGTCCACTTTCCCCAGCATGATTACCAGTTGAAGTTGAGTAGTGGCTGCCCTCTATAAACAGAGTACACACACTCTACTTCCCTCATCCTCCTCCCACTCCTGTCTCCCTCAGCAGCCTCTCACATTGCTGCTGTCTGCCTGGCTCATAGGCTTCTGAGTTATGACACTGGTGTGAAGAGAAAAGACTTAAAGCACATTTTGGCACTGTTAGGATTTGGGATTTCTGGGTGGTGACAATTCTTGTTCATTAATTACTGATTTTCCCACAGCACCTGTGGCCTTGCTGAAGAACTGGAAAAAGAGAAGTCGAGGGAACAGATGAGCTCCCAACCTAAGTCGGCTTGTGGAAACGTAAATATCAGGATCATTCCTTGGCATTCACACACCCCCAGGGGGATTAGGTCTCCTTCTAAACCAAGCACATACAAGCTCCACCTCAAATATTTTAGTAACAGACGAATGCGTGAGCACACGAACACAGGTAGTAATGGGGAGAGAGGCTTTCTCCTGAGAGTGAGAGTGGGTTAGCATGCTTGTGCTGGTCGGGGAGGGTCTTATTGTTTTTTTATTTTTGGCCCATTTCTTTGTACTTCAGAGTGGGACCTGATGGTTAGACATTTAGCTGAAGTTGGTTGTGTTTTGAACTGCATAGAATATAGAACTATGGCCGGGTGCGGTGGCTCACGTCTGTAATCCCAGCACTTTGGGAGGCCGAGGCGGATGGATCACAAGGTCAGGAGATCGAGACCATCCTGGCTAACATGGTGAAACCCCGTCTCTACTAAAAATCAAAAAAAATTAGCCGGGCATGGTGGCAGGCGCCTGTAGTCCCAGCTACTCAGGAGGCTGAGGCAGGAGAATGGCAGGAACCCAGGAGGTGGAGCTTGCAGTAAGCCAAGATCGCACCACTGCACTCCAGCCTGGGCTATGGAGTGAGACTCTGTCTCAAAAAAACAAAAGAACTATGGCCTCCTAGGGAACTTTTCTTGACTGTAGTTTTTCACGAAACCAGAAATCTTGAAAACTCTTAATATTTGGGACTCAATTGGACCTGCAAACATACTCAGCCATTTCCTTCAGGCCACTGTGACCACATGAAATTAGGAATTTCTTTCTTCTGGCTGGTATGCCTGGGATAAGCTGACCCTTGGCTTCCCCATTTTCTGTCTCCAGTGCTACCTGGGCGATGCCTTCCGCTGTGCCAGCTGCCCCTACCTTGGGATGCCAGCCTTCAAACCTGGGGAAAAGGTGCTTCTGAGTGATAGCAATCTTCATGATGCCTAGGAGGGACCTGACATGGGACCCATCTGCTCCTCCAGCCAACTGCTGTCCCTCACATCCCACCACGGTGGCTCCTCCCACCTCCTCTGGATTTGTTCACTCTGAGATCCATTTGCAGAGTGGGTGCTTAGCAGACAGAGTGAAGCTGGCTGGGGGGGCGCAGTGGTGTGTAGTGCTGCTGTGTATCAAAAGGCCAAGGTATTATGGGGCCCGGTTACTCAGAATGGGATGGGTTTCTTCACCTCATGTTAAGAGAAGGTAGTGTGTCCTGAAGAAGCCCTTCTTCTGATGTTAAAATGCTGACCAGAACACTCTTGAGCCCAGGCATCCTGGAGCATTAACACTCTGTGACAGAGCTCCAGACCCCTGCCCCGAGTCTCATCTCAGCAATGCTGCCACCTGCTTGTCTTTCAGAGTTGTTAGTTTACTCCATTCTTTGTGACATGAGTTAAGTGTCTCACAACCTCCTCAGGGCACCAGAGGACTCACTCACTGGTTGCTGTGATGATATCCAGTGTCCCTCTGCCCCCTTCCACCCCCAACCACATTTTACTGTAGCATTGCATCTGTGTCCTGTTGTCATTTCTGTTAACCTTCAGGTATTAAACTTGCTGCCTATCTTGAGATATCTTGAGATTCTGCATGTCTTGTAAAGAGAGGGAATGTGCATTTGTGTGTGATGTTGG